GAATGCACAAGTTGTAAGAAGTACACGTACATGTATTCTTAAAGGTTAGATCTTACATAAATTGGAAATTACATGTGACACATGCACATGTACATGTATGCATGTACCAATACTATGTCTGTTCATGTACAATGTACATGTAGTTTGTGTGTTTGTGCACGGTTAATTATTAAAGCCCATCTGTCATGTCTGTGCACTAGCAAGGGGAAATATCAATTACTCACAAATTTTCCAGACATGGAGAAAATGTGCCAATTACAGTGTGCACAGTGCAGTGTGTGCAAGGTGAATAAGGTTTCAATTTGACTGTGGGACCACAGTACGCACACTGGCATGACTGGTAATCACACTAATTGGCCAATTCAATGTCAGTCTAGGACACAAACCTGCTGTGTCAACAGAACATACATAGGCCCTACTATGTACATGTACAGTTCATGCATCGATTTGAAGAGTTCTTAGGCCAAAAAAAATAATAAGTCGGTCTCTGGTCAGCGCGTGCGTCGATTTTAATCATGCGCGTCGATCTTTTTTTTCCCAAAATGTTCCGCGGTAGCTCCAACAGCGCCCTCTATTTCCGCACCTCCTCAATTTGTTTTACCAAAGAACACCAAGGAAAGGGAAATTGCACCAAGGAAAGTGATCGAAAGCACCAAGGCAAATTATGGAGGACACCAATGTACATGAGGACACCAATGTACATGAGGACACCAAAAAAGCAAAATAGTACCCCACCTTGTCTGTACAATCCAAGCTTGAAGAAGAAAAAAAAAGCCAAAAAAAAAGAAAAAAAAAGCCGCGTCGCCGCATCAATTCTGGAACTTTGGTCTGACCAGAGACCGAATATATATTTTTTTTGGCCTTGCATCTAGGCCTACCATACATATACGGTACATACATACATGTACTTACATGTACATGTAGCCAAAAAACGGCTAAATGAAACAGCTCCTGTAAAAGTCTACAATAAAGGACTATACAATGTACCGGTACACGTATGCATGTCAAATGTATTGAACCGATACCTGTACAATGTACCGGGGTACAGGCACCGGTATGTATAAACTCATACTAACACTAACGGACAACAAACATGTACATGTATGGTGCTTTTCATGCGATACATGCATGAAATTTTAAAAAAGGCACCCACAACAGCCGATGGCATAAAAAAAGGGCACCACTTCTTTCTAAAAAGGGCACCACTTCTTTTAAAAAAGGGCACTTGTTCAGAAAAAAAAGGAAGGGCACTTCTTAAAAAAAGGGCACTCTTTACAAATTATTAGGGGGGGGGGGTAAGCACTGGTGAAAAAAGGGCATTTGAAAGGAAAAGGGCAGTCGTTATAAAATATTGGGGGAGGGTAAATAATCCCCCCCCCCACCCCCACCCTACATGTACTACATGTGTACCGGTACTGGTATATTTCGAGTCTCTCACAGCACAGCTACCGACAGCAAATCTTACAATATTCTAAAAGAAAAGATAATGAACACAATCCACCACGCTTATTATAGCATCGGTGATATTAAACTATGGATCATGTTATTGTACTTGCATGAAGGATCAATGCATATTTCCATGGCAACGAGATTGGGTGGGTGACTGTTTTAATACCTTTGGAGTCTCTCACAGCACAGCTACCGACAGCAAATCTTACAATATTCTAAAAGAAAAGATAATGAACACAATCCACCACGCTTATTATAGCATCGGTGATATTAAACTATGGATCATGTTATTGTACTTACACGAAGGATCAATGCATATTTCCATGGCAACGAAATTGGGTGGGTGACTGTTTTAATACCTTTGGTAAAATGCAGTGTGAGGTGGAAGTACGTTGTTATCTACATCATACATGTGTTTGTTAAAGGGAATATACATCATTTGCTTTTGCTGTGATTTTCAGAAATGGATGGAATTGGGGGGGGTTGGAAATATATAGCAAATATAGTTACACTGACTTTTTTTTAGGTTTTGGGTTCGAAAATGCTATAAAAACCAAGAAAAACGATCATTTTCCTGTAGTCTGGTTCCCTGACTCCATATAAGAAGAAACAGAGCAGTTTACATACATTGGGGAATTGTAAGGTCAGGGAACCAGTCTAGCTGGCTCGTACCCGTTCATAGGTTTGTAATCGATTGCAAACAAGTGCGATGGTCAATTGGGGCCAGTATTTGAAAAAAAAGCCAGTTTTTTCCAACGCTGATCGGCCGATCAGCGTTGGAAATTGATACAAAAATATCACTTTTCTTGAAAATGACAGTATACCAGGTGCCATGATTTTACAGGATGTTTTACACTGTCATTCACTAACAGTCCAGCAAGGTATTTCAAAATGATTTGGTAGTTTTATTTTTTGATGTTTGCAAATGTTGTATTTTCCCTTTAAAGGGAAGATAGCATGGTCCAGGTTCAATGCCCGCATGGGAGTGCCGCAGAATATTCTTCTCCGGTTTTTATCCCGCGTCTGAAACTGTAATTTTCGTAATTGTGTCCTCTCTACAAGTTTCTACCAAGGTTCATCGTATAGGCTGAATTCCTACATGTGTAAGCGTAGCCAGGAACTACTACGGATTTTGAAGTTGAAATAAGTTTGTGTTTATTCCTTCTGTCATTTTAACAAAAACATGAAATTCTGGTCGTCAAAACAAAGAAAAGCAATTTATGTCATCGTGTTGATTAAACTTTGAGGCCTATGGAAATAAAAAAATCATATAGCTAAGGCCAAAAAAAAAAGTCTCCGGTTTCTGGTATGGAGCTTGTCCAAAAAGTGGTGCGGCGACGCGGCTTTTTTTTTTTTTTTACCTGACTTTTTTGCTTCAAATGTCGACTGATGACTGCAAATGGTGCCCGACTAAACTAAGTGCAAATATATGGGAGTCCAGAGAGGCCACATAAAGCTTATTCTCGATCATAACCCCATCTAGAAACACGTTAGAATTGTGCAGCAGCAGGATTCCAGTCAAACCAGTGAGTTTGGCGGTTTTGAGACATCATCTTTCATTAAAAAAAAACTTTTTCATTTTGCCGACGCGCATGGCTACGGCGACGCGCGCGCATACCAGAAACCGGAGACTTTTTTTTTGGGCCTAATTGGCCAATCCGATAAATGTCAGTTTAATTTAATGTAATGCACAGACATATAAACTCATGGACGGCGAGTTGTGCGCGTAAAACCGTGATTTTAAAAAGTATGGGAAAAACGCTTGACAGCGGGCGTAATCGCGTGACGCGCGTTCATTGCAGATACGCGCTTAGTACTGTACATACCGGTACATTTACATTCCGAACATTACTTTTTGAGTTAAAAAAGGCTGTTTTACTCACAATACGATTGAAAAAAGTTTTGCATGTTATTGTTTTTTAATCTACCTAAATCATATTAATTACGCAAGAGATTTTTTTTTACAATCGAAAAATAACTTCATAGAATTTTTTTAATGGAACAGTTTGGGTGTGTGTAAACTCCCTATACCGAGAGGTGAATTTGCCCATACATGTAGTTTGGATTTTAGTCGGGCGCCGCAAAATCACGGAATGTGCGTGTAGTTTTGAATAGGACCAGGCGGTCTATGCATTTAAAGGCCCTTACCGGTTGTTTTAACTTCACATAAAAAAAAAAATTTGGGAGATTTCAAATGTGAACTCTTCACATTATTAGAGCTGCATGTGGCTTGAATGGAGATTTCTTTACATGAGCCTCAGTAGCCATTCTTTGAAGTCAGTTGTACTTCCATAATGATCGTAAATGTAGGTGTGCATTATGGCATTGTTAATATGACAACAATATCGGCAGACAAGATGAACCAACTTTGGTTTCATAATACATTGTATATTGTTTTGCATTGTTACAACAAAGGAATACATTTGATTTGAGCCAGGTAATTATCTTGTAACGGAAAGTGTAGTGACTTGTAGCCAGTCTAGTGCTAATGTACCTTATTGTATTCTTATGTTATGAATGAAATGTAGTATGCGATTGGTTCTCAAAGGCGCAAAGGGTAGTACAGTGCTTTTTTTTAGTGTACATGTACAATGTATTCCCCTTGTAATCACACATGGACCACAATGTTTTGAAGCCACAGGCGATTTGAAACAGAACTGATAATCTCAACTGTCTGTCACCCAAGTGAAAGATGATGTGCATCGGTGTTCACCATGTTCACAGTACAAATTTCTGCTGTTATTTCGCAGCGTCTGGAGCAATTCATTTTACATGTAGATCCCTCTTGATATAACTTGCAACCAGTTTTTGAGTTGTGGATCTGGGTCACGTTGCCTTTAGCTCAGACTGAAATTACATCAGCGTAAAAAAACAAAACAAATTAGTTCAAGCATAGCATCAACACAACAGATGTTATAATTATAGTATAATTATAGGCCTACTTATACAAATAGTAAACATATAAAACCTTTCACTTTCACTTAATCTCTGAAGCTGAGCACTAATGAAGAATCAGCTCAGTGGATGTTACAATTTTCCAGAAAACACTGCAAATACCATCACCAAGCAGCACAACGTTTTTGATCCCAAAATACGATTTTGTCGATAGCGCTCTTGTTCCAAAAACATGAGTCAATTAATTGATCGTTGGAAATCACCTACATTTCTTGATTTCTTCTGAATGACAGAAAGCCAGACGAAATAATTTTGTCACGTAAGTACCAGTACTTACAAAAATGTACAAATGTATGATCTTTAATCCCAGTATTCTTTTTGATACTAATTAGATTACTTTTGGGATAAATGCAATTGACACTACATGCTAAATGCCCTCATCGTAAGTTAAAGTGCATTCATGGACTGATGGATGTACCACTCATCAGCTAATGGATGTTGATTGTTATTCTTACGGATAATGCATTCCACCACTGCTAAACGGCGACAATGTATGTTGACTCCAAACAAGAGCCGCGCCATTTGATATCTGGGCCGAGTTGTGCCCGGCAATTTAATTACTGTTTAATATTTTTTTTTTTTGACTGTGTGGATAGATAATACGCCTAGGGCAGGTGGCATGTAATGGATAGCACGGCACCAACCGTCACGCAGGGAGGAAGACATTCAAGACACGGGGTTTATAGACGAGGATGTTCAGTAGTTAGGGCACAGCAGCGCGCACCATGCCAGTAGAAGGATGGGCTGGAAGCGGTCACTGTTGAACGCCCACATCAGAATGGTGAGTATACTGGTACTTTACTCCTTTGTGTTACTGAAGTGAGATAATTATCAAACCATCACATTATGCAATGTGCTTTGAACCGTTGCAGGGTAGTGTAATCCTACCTGTACATTGTGTTTGTTACGTTTCATTGGGCCTCTAGATGAGCTGACGTGTACATGTATATTGCACTTCACTTTATAACCAGAGTATAGCTGTGTACGTATTTACAGCTAGGGTGGTGCAAAAAGAAGGAAACCCACTTTTGACAGCAATTTTCACATATTTGTTGAGCATATTTCAAGAATTCAATTTAATGGTAAAATATTGATCTTTAAATGCATATTTTGTCTCTGAAAAGTCTGAGACCTACATTTGGTACCAGTAGTTTAAAAATTGCATAGTGTGCCAAACCTGTTTGTCCATGGACGGCTTTATTCCATCCGCTTGACTGAGCTCGGGAGCTTGATTTGAAGACAAAAACACTACACTAGACTTACAGGTGGACAATGGTGATTTTGGTGACTTTGTAAGTAGGTTAAAATTCTTGTCAAAAGTGGGTTTCCTCGTTTTGAACCACCCTGTATACTTACATGTATGCACAGATGTTGGTACTGTGCATCTTACTTTCACTGGTCAGCTAGCATTTTATGAAAGTGTAAGTGTGTAAAAGTTTTGTGGCTTTAGTAGTTCTAAGAGTTCAGTGAAGTTTATAATGCCGAGGACATGGACGCCAGCTAGGAAAATCTCATGGCCACATAGGACGTGGCAGAGCAGAAACTTCAGTTCATTCACAGTACATGTAAGTATGTTGTGTGTGAATACCGTGTATGTTTAGGATTTACTACTTGTCTTTTGATGTACATGTGTATGAACGTACATGTAGATGTACAATGTACGGCCGGGCGTGGCAAGGGCGTCAATCGCTTCTCAAAAGTGGAGGGGGACAAACATGTACATGCACCTTGATCAGCAGTTATGCGAGCGCAAAGCCGTAACGGCGTGGGGTCCGGGGCCTATTTAAGGGCCCAACTGCCTGGGAAAATTTTGGATTCTAGACGCTCTGTGGTGCGATCTGAGACAATTTTCTTACCACTTTAACCACTTTTTGAGCAATGATTTTTAAACGAGTTTGAAGTCATTGAATCAGTTATTCTTAGCTACATTTTGTATAAATATGTGTACCGGTACATGTAGGTTACAATTTTTATTCAGGGACAATGGGGGGGGGGGGGGGGACAAACGATGTGATATTCCCCCCCCCCCCCCCACTTGAAAAAGTGGGTGGGACTTCCCCGTCCCCCGTTAACGCCCATGCGGCCGGGAATGTGTATGCACACCAGTGCAGGTGGATATTTTTCACAAGTTTTTTTTTGTATTGTAAACAAAGTGACCTGCCAGTGATTATTGAGTACACGTATAGGACTGGTCAGAGTGTTCTTTCTTACACAATGTACCGGTACATGAAAATTTACGTAAGTTACGTAAATGATATCATGAACAGGTTGCCACAGTGGTTCTTTCCTCAACTGCATTGTATTTTCCACCTTTGTGTGCAGGCTCCATTCCTGCCCTGGTCCCTGCCTGATTCCATGGGTTTTTCCCAGAATATTCTTATGGGGTATTCTTCCCTAGTGTCATTTCTTCATTGTCTTCTCTTTACAGGTTTCTTCATGGCATGTCATGCCATGCTTTTTTTCATGCTTGTGAGCAAACATGTACAGTGCCTAGGGTGTTTTGAGTGATCATCAATTGGTTTCATTACCTGAAATAAACCATAATGTACATAAAGTACCGGTACATACATGTATGTAATAATAATTAAATTGGAAAATAATTACATGTACATGTAAGCCCAATACACTACAGAATCTGTTTTGAAGTACATGTATGCAGGGCTATGAAAAAAATTATACTTCAGAATTTGTTTTCCTAAAGATTTCACGTGAGAACCATTGCGTTCTTCAACCTACCGTAATTATTTCTTACATGTACAGTACATTTCTAAACCCTAAGCTTCCCAAATGCTCAAAAATGCTTTTTGCAAAATGGAGAATTTTGCAGGATTGAGGCTTTATGGCAAAAGTGTGTGGCTGATTTCGGAGGATCCACTGTGTCACGGTCTTAGGCCGGTGTTGTTTATACTCATCCATGCATACATTTACAATGTACGGTGTAGACCTAGATTATACTTAAAAATTCCTCCGCACTGCTCCAGGATGTCACTGGCTCTGCCTCAACATATTGACAGTGATTGTCGGAGGATTTTGCAGGATTGAGGCAGTAGTCACCCGTCCAAGGACCACATTAAAAAAAATAACGGATCATTTTGCAGGATTGAGGCTGTATGCTATTTGATTACACAACTGTACATCGTAGCAAAAATGCCTAACTGTAACTTATGTAAGGGCCCAAGGGGTTAGGGTTAATACATGGAAGATGTTAACCCCTGTTTAAAATCCCTGATTTTTTTGTTGGGGAAAAAAATCATATGAAACCCTCTAGCCCGTCTGAGCAATCAAACCATCTTACAAAGGTTTAGTTGCTTAATCCTACATCCTCCGTTGCACCTGCAAATCCACTCTTCCTTTGCCACATTGATTGAACGTCTTGTAATTTTCAGCGCTGGTGTGTTAATCAGGCTCTAGCATGTCTAGTGTACAATACATGTATGCGCAATGGCAGAGTCAAAATGTGCAACTCGTTTGCCTGTGTGATGAAAATCAGCAGAGCTATCGGAGGAAGCACCTGCTGGAGCAGGGAGCGGGGGACAGGTCACTTCTCCAAAGGGGGAGATATGCTGTAAATCTAGCAGTGTGATTTAACATGCAGACACCAAAGAGAAAAGGCCATGGTTCATGTGTAAAAAAGAGCATTACATGTAGAATGAGTTAACTAGAAACACAAAAATAAAATCGCACGCTTTTACCAAAACCAATTTAGGCCAAAAAAAATAATAGTTCTGCTTCCGGTTTCCCTACCTACCCTATTCTGACAGCCCCTACCCTAATTTTTTTTATGGGAAAAATGAGAAAAAAACACCCAAAACCATCAATTTCTACCTTTTTACCATTCACTATACGCAGACACCTCCATATGATCGTACACAAAAAAACATTGGCAAAAAAAAAAATTCCCTACCTACTTACCCTATTTTCAAATGCCATGTAATCGGAACCAGAATTATTATTTTTTTTGCCTTAGTCATTTACCGTTCCATTTCAAAATTTGGTCACCCTCTTTAGTCACCGGGTCGAAGAATATTTGTCATTACAGATCAAATTCTTCTTGGCTGTTGCAGAATGGCAGCATTCAGAGATCAAATTTGTCTTTTATCAATCAATTTAAAACTTGTAAGTCTGGTGTGCTTTAAAAGAAATTTCCTTGTGTCCCCAAGCACAATTTGGCACATTTGCTCGCATGATTTTTCGGAACAAAGCAGAGTACTGAACACAAAGAAGAATTTCCAAAAAAGTAAAGATTACCGGGATAAAACAAAATACAACGTTATTTAAAATCAACAAACAGAAAGAAAATTCTTACAATGAAAAAAAAAACACCCATAAATCCCTGTGTAATTTGCCTAAAATATTGAGTCTAAATTTTAAGAAGATAAAATCAAAATAAATGACAAATTTATGAACAAATAAGGAAAGAAAGAGTTCTGGTTAGAGGCCTACATGTACATGCCTTTGAAAATATATCCCTATGAAGCATGACGAAATTTAACCAAATTATGTTTAAATTGTGTGGCATTACACAAATTTGATTTCTGAACAACATGATTCGGCGTAGACGAGACAAAATTGTATACTCCTGGTTGAAAACGAGTGCTCATTGTTTGAATTTGTTTGGACTAAATTTGAAATTGTCTGACAAAAGATGAAATTAAACATTGGAAGTGCGCTAAATCGATTTTGCTGGACAAATGTATAAGAAACAGTGAATTTGAACGAAAAATGTTTTAAAATAGCGAGGAAAACCTATACTAAGAACTGTGTTTAGCAAATAAACACAATCTTGCTATACATGTACATGTACGTGTCCAATTCCTAAACACAGTAATTTCATACTGTAATGTGTCATGCACATTGTAAATACCGTACTGTCTTTTGTTGTTTTAGAATTTCTATACACTCGAGGACAATGTTTTGTGTTTCCCTTTGTCCTTGTAATATAACACTCTCCCATAGACTAAGCACATACCGGTACATGTAAGTTTGAGGACCGTTGTCAACATGTTCAACAAAAGACCCAACGCTCGTGGACTGAAAGGATCTCTTGTTCTCCCTTTGTGTGTCTTGCCTCGATCATAAAGCCATACAAGAGCAAGGCAACCTTTAGAAAAATACATCACTTTTGAAACATCACTTTGATGATTTGGATAAATTTGTCTCAGTTCAAACATTCCAAAATGAATATTCTCTGATTTGTTTTGCAGGGGCGATACAGCGTGAAGGTGAAGACACTCATCGTGCTATGGATGCTGTGCTTCTTCGGGGCTTGGGTGATGTACTTCAGCTACAACGGCAGCCCCGATATATGCAGGCCAGAGAGCGCCAAGGAATTCATAGTGAGTTACCCTGACTACCGCCGTAGCGAACCTTTGCAATTCTTTTTCAAGCGCTGAGCAGCTGAGGGTTTCAACTATCAGTAGGTGTCATATTCCTGTCATATGAGAAATTCATACAAAGCAAGAAATGAATCAATGATTATAATTTTTTCAGTTGTGACTCTGTGTACATGTACTAGTGTGTACATTTGCGCTGCAGGTAATGAAAGAAGGCTGGCTACTACATTTACCGGTACATGTAGGCCCAGATATGTTGTAGGTTTTGGGGATCGTTTTGGGCAGATGTCATTGCACTGTCCAATGAAGGTTATTCGCATTTTCAGTACACAACACTTTTTTTACAAGAGCTGTAGGATTATTATGATGAGATACAGGCATTCACACATATCTGCAAATTTGTACCAGTACATGTACATATGTACGTACACATCGGCGTAGCCAGCGGGGGGTAAGGGGGGTATGTATCCCCCCCCCCCAAATATTTTGTAAAGGCTGCCCTTTTCTATTCAAATGTCCTTTTTTTTACCAGCGCTTACCCCCCCCCCCCCCCAATATTTTGTAAAGAGTGCCCTTTTTAGTTTAACAAGTGCCCTTTTTTTCTGAACAAGTGCCCTTTTTAAAAGTATGTGGTGGCCTTTTTGGTGCCATCAGCCGTTGCGGGTGCCTTTTTTTGTTAATTTTGCGCATGTATCTCCGTTAGAAGTACCATTTTGTCCGTTAGTGTGCATTATCGTCGGTTTTGAACAGCTCCCCCATCGACAGATGGTACCAGCCCCTCCCCCCCCCCCCCCAACTATTTGATTTTATGGAGGCCAAGTGTCCGGGGAAAAAAACGTGTCTACATTTCAGCATGGATGTGCAAGTGCCCTTTTCAAAGAAAATTTACCCCCCCCCCCCCAATAAAAATGACCGTAATATGCCACTGCAACATGTACATGTTGTTCCACACTAGATCCTCCTACCCTGTCCCCCTCCCTCTCTCAGCCCTACTACACAGATGCCAGTACTAGTGGTTTATGGCAGCAATGGAAAAAGCTGCACTTTTCATAAGATTGAATTTTGCGTCGGGGGGGGGGGGGGGGGGGGGGAATGTAAATCAATATTAGGTTTTCCTTTCACCGACGTATAGTGTGTTACCTCCCGAGTGAAAATTGGAAAAAATCACTCGGGTGGGACTCGAACCCACAACCTCCTGCTTTCTAGTGCAGATGTCTTACCATTCGACCAGCGAGCTTGTGGGATCGGTTGGCTGGTTCGAATCTGATGTACAATGTACATGTAGTGCGGGTACCGCAATTAAACTATTCATAAGATGGAATTTTGCATCGTTTTGCATTGGGGGGGGGGGGGATGTACTTGTAAGCTGCACTTTATTGATTATCCTGTCCATAAAATGAAACATGTACATGTAGGCTAGGAGCTTGTACATGTACACGTACATTGTAAAGTCTTTAAAAAAACAGTCGCCTGGCGACTGATTTTGACTGAAAGGACAACTTTACATAGAGTGAGTGTATGTTTGCATGCATAGGAGGGTTAATTAAACAAATTGCACTTGGAAGTAATTATACCTGCAAAAAAAACAATATTGATATTTATAATTCTTAAAAGACTTGTAGTTTTGTTCTACATACAGACATAGTACATTTGTCAATATCCAATTTAATGATAATTTTCTATCCCAATATGACACTCACTACATCTACAAAAAAAATTGACTCAATGGGTGTCATGAAGACACAGAACTAAATGCAAGTTATTTTACTGAGCAAATTCGACGGTCCAAGAAAGTGCTGCTGACTCACAACTCCGCCGGACCTGCACCGTAAATTATGAAACGTGTAATAAGCGCGTCCAACTCCTCGCCAGATGATGCGCCTTATCGAGGCGTGAAGAATGCAACACCGACCCCCATTAATAATGTATGTGTGTTTCACACTCAATTAGCTTCTCTCGTCACGGACCGGCGTCTCAGCCCTAGGTGTCATCAAGGACTTTACACGTTAAGGGAAAAAAATCCTGAGAATTATCAAGAAAGGTGCCTGTTCCTCACTCCTAGCTTCCCCCTAGTCAAGTTCCATCAGCTGAAACGTGTTGGTTTCTCAAAGTTCTCACTTCTGTGCCTGCTGTAATTGAAAATATCTTCATCTGTAACGTGTATACTTTCACTGGCAGTTTGAAGCAGTATTCAGACCGTGATGTGTTTATTATGACTGGGACATGTGTAGGCACTTTAAGCTTAAATGATGCATGCACTAATGACTACAAAATGAACTCTGAAACACTCACAAGAGCCATTAGGGCATTAATAATTAATTGCTTTGGCCCCGTTTTTTTTCTCAGGCCCTGGTTTTTATTGAAGCTCAGTGCGCATTGCAGATTAGTGCATATTTATGGACTTAAGTGCATCCGTGCACTCTTGCGAAAGAGCTAATGCGGTTTCTTGGTCAAACAGGGGCATGGGAGGGGGCTATCTAAAATTGTACGCCATAATTTATAATTTGAGTGTAAGTGGACGGAGGTGTGCCCATCCTGGCCTTGTTCATTCCCTACGGCATTCACATGCATGCTATTTTATGATGTGTGTTTCTACTTAAGCCATTCCAAATCGTCGCAGCCGAAATTTGTTGTCATGTGCATGAACCCCCACTCTCTGGCTGGCAATTTCAACAAGGCCAGCCCAGCAGTCAAAATAAATAAAGTGACTGTTTTTAACAGTTGAGTGCTCCCTGCCTTCATGAAGCAGAATTGACTGGCTGTGATTGTTATGAAATGTGATATATGTACATGTACTAATGTTGCTTTCCTTTGACTAAGGAGATTGATAAGCCAGTTGTGCCTACACACGTGTTCCAGTCACCTGGTTAAAGGGACACTGCGTCCTGGAGCAGCCCAATTGGGCTACAAAACGCGCTTTGAACAAAGTGATGTTAATCGGAAAGAACATTTATAAGTAGGATATAAACATTCACACAACTATCCTAAAAAAAACTGGGCGATTTTGTGTTATTCCTGTATTATGCGTGCGAGAACGACTTTCGGGGTCCACTTTTGCGACCCCAAAAAGTTGAGCTATTTGGGTGCTAGTTGTGATTTCATCCGTAAAGTTTTCGCCATTTGCAGACGTGCAAGAAAACACATTTTGTGCATTGGCGATTGGTCACTGCTGTTCGCGAGCACAGTGCAGGTATAGACAAACACAATGTGTACTGGTACACTGTACATGTATATCGTACATTAGAGAGGTTTCGCATGCAAACGGATACGTTTGCGACGGATACGTCATCAGTTATGACGTCATACGCCACCCACTTTCCGCTAAACGTGCAGACGACACGCATATCTCGCTCGCTACACGTAAGTAAAAAACGGATACGGATAGCTAAACGTAAGTGTAAGCGTATCCGTTCGCTTGCAAAACCTCCCTATTGACTGAAAACGACAGGCAAAATGCATTCGTACTCCGTCATGTCCGATGTAAACAACTGGTTTATTTTTTGTCTTTTCTCGGGAACGGTAACACATTAGGTTGGTTTCCTTTCAACTAGATGTTTGAAATAGGATAAGTAAACAATCCCAAACATGAAATTTTCGGGGATTTCAGGACCTAGTGCCCCTTTAACTGTTTATTGATGGAACTTGACAGGTCACAGTGCCGACCAGAAATATGATCTGACTGTTGTTGACTAGCATGTGTAAAAGGCATGGCAGGGGAAAAAAATTGAGTTTTTAACTGTCTATGGTTGATCAAACAAAAGGAGGGTTAGGCCAAAAAAATATATATTCGGTCTCTGGTCAGACCAAAGTTACGGAATTGACGTGGGGACCCTTTTTTTTTTTTTTTTTCCCTTCCTTTTTTTCTTTTTCTTCAAGCTTGGATTGTACAGACAAGGTGGGATATTATTTCGCTTTTTTTGGTGTCCTCATGTACATTGGTGTCCTCCATAATTTGCCTTGGTGCTTTCGATCATTTGCCTTGGTGCAATTTCTCATTCCTTGGTGCTCTTTGGTAAAAAAAATTGAGGAGGTGCGGCAATAGAGGCTGTTGGAGCTACTGCGGAACATTTTGGGGAAAAAAAACGATTGATGTGCATGATTAAAATTGATGTGCGCGCTGGTCACCAGAGACCGACTTATTTTTTTTTTTGGCCTTAACTGAATATTTGAATTTTCAGGCATTGCAACTTTTCCTTGGATCCTCTGATTTCCTCATTTTTATCAGGAATTGAAAAATACTGTACAAAGTATTGTGTGGTCTGGAGTTGCCTCAATTCCCGGTTGCATATGCTCAAATATTAAATCACCAAACAAATATCCAAATATAAATTTTTTGTTTTCAATTCAAATATTCAAAAAATGTGAACGGCCTCCAGCAGTGTCAGCAGATGATGAAACACTAAATAATATTTATAAGTTGTGGGATTTTATTGATCTTTTTCAAATGCCACACCTTTGTTGTTGGCCATTATCACACACAATTTGAGTGCTTCCATGGGGAATATGAGCTCAGATTTCTATGTTAAAATCAGTCAAACAAATCAACCACTGCCACCTGTTTATATTATTTGAATGAGCTCTTTGTCAGTTTGTGACAAGCGCAGGTGCACGCAAATCCAGATCGGCAGCCAGTTTAGACTGGCGCATGTTTAACATAATCAGTGAATATCGAAATTTTATATTTGGAAATTTGATCAAGTCCAAGTTTGATTTAATCAAATGCAAAATAATTTGAAATTGCACAGCCCTATAATTTGTTGTCATGGTTATCGTGCATTCATGTGCTTTATCCAAGGACTACCAGTAGGGTAAGAGTAACTGATGTCATTAAATTACTATTTTGCAAAATATTACATGTACGTATAGATGAGACATCACAAAACAAAACTGTGACAACGTGAATGCATGCAGTCGTACTTCATGCACAGTTTTATGCAGACAGCATAAAAGCCCTGTCCCCTCTTAATAATTAAAAAGTATAATTTTGACTCGTAGATACCATGTAAATTCATAGGATTTTTCTCCATCTATAGTATCATGCATGCTTTGCAAGTCTCAGCTGTAATAGGTTCGTAATTATTCAATTATTAAAAATTGTCCCAAGTGGAATTGCATGTGCAACCCTGCTTCTGAATTATAAATTAAAATTTCCTGAGGAGTAATACTACCGTGTACATGTGTGGGTAGGCCTACACCGCGTTATCATGGTTATGGGGAATTTTTTTTATTGTTCTAAAGCAAATTAGGACCAAGTTATGGGGACTTTCTGCTGTCCTCACAACATTTTCGGTCCCCACAAACAGACGAGTGTGTGTCCCCACAACTACGGAACAAGAACATGTGGGCGTGTTTATCTATTCAAACTGTGGATGAAAAGTTCCAGAGAACAAAAGAGAACAATATCGTCCACGATTCCCAGCATACGTCCACGATTAGATTGGTGTACAAAACATACCGGTATGGGAGTCTTCCTAAAAAGTTAGAGTACAAACAAAAGAGGGACAATGGGACGTCCAGTATCGACGGTGTGAACACTTTTGGGTAGGCATTACATTCACTGTGTAGACTTCCGAACAAAAGAGGTCCACATACACCAGGTAGAGGAGACGTTGTGTGGACGTGGGCAAGTCCACACAGTGTTTCCCCATTTCTGGAAAACAGGTTTAGAGGCATTTTTGGGTTAGGTTTAACCGTGGCAAAATGAAGAGAAACACTCAAGGGAATCATAGAAAAAAAATTGGGTTGAAAGTGTTTTCACAGTGAGAGCAAAATGATTTTTTTCACAGGTTTTTCTTAACTACACGAAACCAAGGGAATGTCCACCCTCAAACATTTCTGACAACAAGGCTACATGTTTACCGGCCAAATACCCTACACTTCTGAGCAAGATACCGGTACATGTAGTGTACATATAATTAATAGTTTTGCAGATAAGACAGAGCCATCATCCATTCATTAGAAAAAAATGTACAATATGGTACCGCGGGTACAGTGTCAGCTATTTGTCAGGTGGTAAATGCTCACAAGGAAGTCTCAATAATCAATTAATTATATTCACCTTTTCAATAACCAAGTAATATTCACCTTTTCAGAAGAACTGTAATGACATCATTTTCACCAAGTTCGTCAATCCTTTTGTTTGTTCCAATTTTCTTTTAGAAAGAGTTTCAGTCTGGGCTCGTTTTTGGCTTGTGAAATTGTTTCCTCCTTCCCATCATGCATTTGTGTAACATCATGAACAATTATTGCTGTCTTATGAATTAAACTTCACTCTACCGCAAGTTAATTTGTTTTGGTGTTTTCCTGCCACAGTGTGAGAATTACAACAAAGGTGTGATCGCCGGCTCCATGTGTGAAGAACTATGCCAGCAGACGAAGATAACACTGGACAGTTGTGTTTCCCAGGATGCATTTCACCAGGTACATGTATGACTGGCATGTGAATGCATATTATGGCTGTCTACAAGTGGGGGTGGGGATGGCCTGGTTGTTAGGGTTCTTGACTATGATCAGAGGGTCAGGGGTTCAAATCCAGCTGCTAGCCATATGTTGTGACCTTATGGACAAGCTTATTTAACCCCACTAGCCTCTCTCCACCCAGGGCCAATTTAATGCTGCCATTAACGGTCGATTTTCTGCTAACAGAGCCTACGTCTATTTCGTAGAGACTGAAAATAAGCACAGCTAAAGCATGCTTAACCTGAGTGGAAAAAAGGTGTTTGATTCAGTGACATAATAGAAATCTCCATGCGCACAACCATTAATCAGCAGCTTGATTTTCTGCTGTAGTAAGCACAACTTTTCTGCTAACTGTTAAGCAGTGCTATGACTGGCATTAGCAGGGGAGTAACATGAGATGGACTGGCATCCCATTCAGGGGGAGTAGAAATACCCTCAGTCGTTTCATGCAAAGAAAAACCGGAGTTCAACGCCGGCCTGATGGGCTATATTGGCTGGTGACAGACTTTACACAATGTACCGTACTTACAAAGTTACATGGCTGCGGCCAAGGGCGGATCCAGAACACAATTTTTTGGGGGGTGGGCCAAAAAAAAATTGGGTCCCCAAAATTATGGCGTGGGGTTTGGGGCCCTTAAGTGGGCCCCGAAATGTTTTTGGATTCTACCCCCGGTAAATGCTCTGAGGTGCGATCTGGGGCAATGTCTGACAACTTTAACCACATATTTTGGCGGAAACGATGGTGGTGTATGCTGTGCTTGCCTTTATTGCGACGCCACTTAAAAAAAAAAAAAAAATGGGGTTCAGTTTTTTTTTTGGGGGGGGGGGGCCATGGCCCCCGTTGGCCCCCGTTGCCCCCCCCCCTTGGATCCGCCTTGGCCGGCTGCGGCCTATGGAAGCAGCTGAAGCCGCTACCAATGTGTGCTACTGCTAGCCATAGCTGATAGAGCAACAAAATGTACCTGTTGCTTAAATATATAGTCCATCATTTGTAATTTGTGCATTTTGTTCGTTTGAAGCAACAAAAGTGTTCAAAATCTAAAGAAGGGCACTGAACAACTAACCTGATGAAGTTGCAGCTCAGCTTCAGCTGTATATTCCGAGAAATACAGCATTCTAGGATCTCAGTTTCAAATCAAAAGTTGCTGAATCATGTTTTGAATTGCTTGAATTCAGCGTCCGAGACGCGTTCTCACTGAGCCGATTGCAGCTATACGCGATGTCGCGCACTGATCCGACGAATTATAGCAACCGCGCGCGTGTGCGTCTTGCCAATGCTTGCGCGCGCTTCGCCGAATAGCAAAATGAACTATTAATTTAAATTTTCCTACGGTGCTTCTTAAGACGCACCGTTGGAAAGGCCTTCTTTCGTTGATTACTTCAAAATGACAGCTTGCCAGAAAGAATAATTTCATTTTCACAGGGAGTTTAGTCCCCTTACTATCTTTCAACCAAGTATGTTTTTCAATGATAATTACGCCAGTTACTTTTCGGATGGCTGCAAATGATGGACTATAGCTTTAACCAAAATACATGTACGTACAGGTACCGGTACTTGTACCCGTACAAATGTATATACCGGTATGTACGCACACTGTTTTGTTTCTATATCATTTCTGATGCTACTCCGGCGATTTCAGCACGATCTACCGTACCCCAGGCAAAATCCATGGGGAAGGGCCGAGCGTGTTGGTGTTCATGCATTTTGAGGTGCATGCTAGCACAGATCATTAGCTGTGTGGGTATAAGTTCACGTATGGCAAGGTGTTTGTTGGGGTATATTATACTGCTTGGCTAGTCCCCGCGATCACTGCCTTGGGGCTTGGCCAGCATGATGAAGCAGATCATTTATTCATGCTTCCTGAGTAAAGGTAAAAGCTCCATATGCTTTTACTTCATGGGAATTAAAGCGAGTTTGTGTTCGTCATCGTGAAAAACAAGGACCACACCGGTCATATTTAAAGGTTTCTGAAATTAAGGTATTAGTTGAAGCTGGGAACAGTTCGATTTTTTTTCTGGCCAGCAGTACATACATACATGTATACTGTACAAAATGTACATGTGTGTGGTAGAAAGTATACAGCCTGTCTCCAAAAAAAATGGTACAATCGAAAACGATTTTTTTTTCAATATTAAATCTCAACATGAGTATGTCGTTTTGAGCATCACATTAAAGAAAAAAGACCAGGCTTTCCAATACTTTTTGTTTCATCTCATTTGCTTTTGACAATCCAGAGATAACTCCAGTTTACTGCGGAACACAAAAATGGAGTTTGTTTCTTTTGCCAAGTTGCAATCTTTTGTGAGCTTCAAGACAGCATGGCACAGAACTCGAAACAACTCTGCCCATACATAAAAGTGGCAGAAAATCGATTTTGGTGTATCGCACTAAATTGATTATATCTCTGAATTGACAAAAGCAAATAAGATCAAACAAACACTATTGGAAAGCCCAGTCTTTGTTCTTTAATATTATGCCCAGTAAGAATGACTTATTTTGAAATTTCATATTTAACCAATCTTTTTTTCTGATTGTACCATTTTTTTGGAGACAGGCTGTATGTTTACAAGTTGCGTTGAACGGTTGAGAATATCATTTGTCATTTGTGCATTTGAGTACAAGCGTGCTCAAAATCTAAAGAAGGGTAAGCTTAACAACTAACCCGATGAAGTTGTAGCTCAGTGAATACTGTATGTTCTTGAGAAAACAATATTGTAGGATCTCTATTTCAATTCAAAAGTTGCAGAGCCATGTTTTGAGTTGCGCCCGCAATCAGCGTCCGGGACACATTCTCATTCAGCCGATTGCTAGCTACTCGTTGTCACACTCTGAACCGACGCATTATACATGCGCATGTGTGTCATTTCAATGCTTGCTCGCACCCATTCATTTACTGGAAATAGAATGTTTGTTTTAGCATTGTACCCAACATGCTATGCTGTGCTGTGCATTTACATGTACTACTTCTGTGCTGTTCTGTGAAGAATATTGCTACTGCATGTTGCAGGCATGTTGTCTATTTTCTTTTACATGGCAAAGTCAAAAACTGAAACATTTTTACTGCAACAGCCGAAACTGGGAATTAAATGTTAAGGCCAACAAAAAAAAAGTCTCCGGTTTCTGGTATGGAGCTTCCCCAAAAAGTGGTGCGGCGACGCGGCTTTGTTTTTTTACCTGATTTTTTTGCTTCAAATGTCGGCTGATGACTGCATATGGCGCCCGACTAAACTTAGTGCAAATATATGGGAGTCCAGAGAGGCAACATAAAGCTTATTCTCGACCATAACCCAATCTAAAAACACGTTAAAATTGTGCAGCAGCAGGATTCCAGTCAAACCAGTGAGTTTGGCATTTTGAGACATCATCTTTCATTGAAAAAAAAACTTTATCATTTTGCCGACGCGCATGGTTACGGCGACGCGCGCGCATACCAGAAACCGGAGACTTTTTTTTCTTGGCCTAAGCAAGCTTGCTACTTGCATGACTCAGTGCAGCCGCAGCTGTTCTGGTCTCCAGGAAATCTTGGCTCAGTCCCCAGGAGGGTTACACACTTTTTTTTGTAATCTTGGACAAGTTCCTGCAGTGTACGGTAGTGTACATTTGCACATGTTCATGGATATGTGTCATTAAAATTTGCTGAAAATACCCAGGGGACATAACAGTACTGTACATGAAAACTTCCCCGTCAAAATAGGCTTCAGTTATCGGAAATGGAAAATTGGGAAGGGGATTTGTCACCCTTCATGTAATCAATTTGTCCCAATGCCACTTCCAAACTTTCCTTGGCACTAAGCCATATAGATTTGTTCACCGATATTTTGCACAGGTTTTAGCAACTAGGATTGATAAGTTTCCAATTTCAGATATTACAAATGCAGGGTGAAAAATGTTAACATTGTGATTGTTTAATAACAAATGTCATAGGCAGTGGCCAAGTTCGCGCAAGGACTATAGTTGACCAATGGTTAACTAACGTTTGCCCGAACTCTGTCTAGTCGACGGTGGTTGACTACGCTAGTCGACTACTTGGAACCAGCCTACTGGGGTTGGTTGCTTCGCTGGTAACCAATAGCCGCGCGCATTCATAACGCTAGCAGAGAGCCAGGATCCAGAAGTTTTGCGATGACATTTTGACCAGCGTTTGACTAGAGACGTTCGCACGTTGCTATCAGTGCGCAGGCGTAAGGTACGTCACAAATCAACCACTAGTCGACTAATGGTCCTTGCCCGAACTTGGCCAGTGATTCAGCAAAAATTCTCCCTTCATCGTGTTTCGGAAGCAAACATGAAGTCTTAAAAATGATAACAAAATGTTTTGTTCCTTTGGACTAAAACTTTACATCTAAGCATTAACATTGTAACATTGATGTCTTTGTAACATTGATGTCATTGTGTGGACAAGATTTCGGAAAGGTTTGAATCTGCATTCCTTTGCTTATGTCAGAGGGCAAAAAATGTCACTACATGTAATGGTATTTTGATTGGGTTACTTTTTTTTAAGTTACTGTACAATGTATGTTCAATTCAGCCCTTAACTCTGAGTCATGATAGACCATTTACATGTAATGAATGAATGAAATGAATATAGTAGTTGTCACAACAGATATTTGTACAATGAATCAACAGAAAGGAACACGAGGTGCAACTGCAATCCTATTTAACAAATTGATTGTGGGGGTGCTTTGGTCCAATGGTTATGGTGTTCGACTCGTGTGCCGTGGTACATGGGTTCGAATCCTGATTGTGGGAACATGGTGCTTGTGCTCTTGAGCAAAGCACTTTAAATACCATTATTGCTTTGTCCTTCGGATGGGATGCAAAGCCGTAGGTCCCGTGTGTTGTGTAATGCACGTTAAAGAACCCAGTAACACTTATCGCTAAGAGAAGGGGTTTGCCCCGGTGTTTCTAGTAGTCAGGTAGTGGCTGCAATATGCACCGCAGCACCTTGTAAACCCTTATAAGGTGCTACATAATGTGTCTCATATTTCTCATAAACTTCATTTACCTATCTTTAATAATAGACATAGTATGTAATTTCCAGCCCCTTGAGTACCAAATTGTTGGTACCGGTAGATACGTGTGCTATATAAGACTTCGGTATTAATAATAACTTATTGTCTTAGGGCAAGACTTTTATTTTCATTTAATCCCTTTGTTTTTCTTTTTCTTTTAAAAAAATCTTAGACATACATTGGCACACTAAAGAAACCACCAAAACAAAGGAAGAACATGGATGAGCCCCTTTACATCAAGCAGTCTTTGAATCCTGCGGAGGTCAGCTTCCAGAAGCCTGCCTCTGGTAGCTCCATGGAGGACCTGCGGATCATGATCTCTGCCTACCTCAAGCGACACCTGGGCGACGGCGGTAACATTGACAGTATCCAGTCCAGAATACTCAACTTGGCTGACAGTAACAACGACGGCAAAGTCTCGTTGCCCGAGGCCAGGTCAGTCTGGGCCCTTCTTCAGTCCAAAGAGTTCCTGATCATGATGGTCCTGGGCGACAGCGACTACATTCCACGCCTGCTGGGATTCTGCGGGAACATGTACATCATGGAGGGCATTCGCGCCTTCAGGTTATTCGGCACCGAGTTCCCGCCGCTTCTCGACTTCGTTTTGCCAAATTCAGCCAAAATGTATTTCCAAAGAAAGATTGCCCCGCCTTGGACGGACCGAGCTCACATTGTCGTGGGACTGCTAGAATTTGTCGAAGAGATTATGGAAGGACCCGCGGGGAATCTCTACATGTGCCATGTGAACGAAAGGGGGATCGGGTATACGGCGTACAGCGATGTGAAAATTCTTAGATTGGAGGGTGTTTTGACGGAGCAGGCCGTGAAGACTAGCCTGCAGGATAGAACCTGCTTTGGGGACTGGGACTGCATGCTTGGGGAGAACTGTCGCTCCCCGTGCGACAAGTCGGGCAAATGCTCCGGGGAGATGATTCAGCCCAATCTCCAGCGTGTCTGTCACATGCTGACTGTTTACCTCCTGGACAATGCACCGTCTGATGTCCACCAAGAACTCGAAGATCTACTCGGCAAGTGTAAGCGGTTGGAGTTTGGCAGCAAAAACATGCACATGGACCACTCGCTGGTTCTCAACAACCTCAAGTCGTTGCTGTGGAAGCAGGTATCACATCTCAAGAAATTTTCCAAGACATCAAGGTCTTAGTACAGGTACATGTACATGTACTTCTTGTTGAGCAAACCTTGTTATTTCAACTTTTTGGCCTTTTAGTTGGGGAGACTGGCTACCAGAATACTCGTTAAGAACATCTTGATTTCTTCAAGGTTAAGATCACTGTGCGTGCCCAGTAAGGTTTGCAGTATGGGTAGCTTTCTCAAGACACTGTCTTAAGATACAAAGATTCTGTCAGCATTTTAAGATATAAGATAGGAAAAGTGGGATCTTTATGCTACATGTGTAATGGGGGTAGGGTATCAAAGATCCAGGAATTGTTGGCGAGCTGAAAGAGAGAGACCAGAGACAGGGCGGTTGGAATTGATGGTAGATGGAACAGCACTAATGCATGCTGGACCACATCACCACCCTCATCACTGCACCTTCCTGTCCAGGGGTCACTCCTCATTCAAGAAGGGGGTCTCTCTGGTTATATAAACTATAGTCTCGCAGGCATGGGACTAAACTAAGATACATGTAATACTTCAAAGAGGAAAAAAGAAGAAATTGACGGGGGTTTTTGCATGAGCCCCCCAAAAAAGGGAAAATAAACTGAAGTCCAGAGAAAATGACATTTGATAAAAAGTAAAAATCACTTGTCAAAAAGGGGCACCCTTTTATGTATTCAAAAATATTTATTGCAATTTGAGCCATGAGCCTGGCATTGTAACCTGACATCCTTTTCACATGTTTCAGTACATGAAATGTACAAAGACAAGATAAGTTTGCGGTAGCACCATGTGAATAAATCTCTTTTGTGAGTATGTGTGGTTCTGAAATGAACCGGAGGGACTCAACTTTTCGAACAGTATGCTCTGCCCGTCGTCAGGAGAATGAGGGATTCCAACTGAAATGTACAGTCAGGCCTGGATACCCAATAGGCACAGTAGACACTGTGCCAACCGATAGGGCCTAGGAACAATTTGGGGCCTTTGAAAAATTTGGGGCCTACAAAATTTTTTAGGGCCTACAAAAATACCACAGTGTGCCAACAGGCTTGTAGAGCTACATGTACACGTACCGGTACATGGACCAATTTGGCCTGGCTTGCTGAGTAGTAAGTACCGGTACAGCTTAGAATTAACATTAAAGGGAATGTACAACATTTGCTCTTGCTGCAATTTTTAGTAGTAAATGGATTTGGGGGATTTGAATGTTATAGCAAATGTTAAACTGACTTGCTTTACGTTTTGGGCTTGAAGATGCTGGAAAAACCAAGAAAACATCATGTTCTTCTAGTCTGGTTCCCTGACCCCACTTACGATTAAACGGAGCAGTTTGTCGACTTTGGGGAATTGTAAGGTCAGAGAATGTGTCCGGCAGGATGTTCACAGGTGTGTAATAAATTGCAAAGAAAATGCGGATAAACTAGTTATGAAAAATTAAGAGCAGTTTTTCAAAAAAGCCAGTTTTCTCCAACGCTGGTCAGCCGACCAACATTGGAAATATACCAGTTTTTTTGAAAATGTCAGCACACCAGGAGCCACGATTTTACAAGATGCTTTAGACTGTCATTCCCTAACAATCCAGTAAGATATTTCGTGATAATTTGATCATTTCGTTTTTTTGATGTTTGCAAATGTTGTATCTTCCCTTTAAATTGGTGCTGATGCCTAGAGTGGAGTAGAACGGTAGGGCCTACGGAACACTGGCACCTACCGGTACAAAAAAAATGTAGGTCCTACAGAACACTTAATCCAGCCCTCTGTACATGTGCCAGTACATTGGTTTTGCCTTCTGCTAATGTCATGAATGTAGAGTTTCACTTTCCACTCAATGCTGACTCGGAGCTACCGGTGTTATGAAAACAAGACTCCAGCCTGCTGTGAAATATTTTATGACACTGAAGGTACATGTAATATTATCTGATACATACATGTACAATTTGTACATGTACATTTCCAAGATCCATACATTTCAGCATTCATCAAGATGTTATTCAGTTTTAAACTGGTTTTACCGGTACATGTACATGTACCTGTATTGTACATGTACATAAGCACAGCGTGAAACCTCTATTAAAGATATAGTCCATCATTTGTAATTTGTGCATTTTGTTCGTTTGAAGTAACAAAAGTGTTCAAAATCTAATGAGGGATACTGAACAACTAACCTGATGAAGTTTCAGTTCAGCTTCAGCTGTATATTCCGAGAAAAACAGCATTCTAGGATCTCAATTTCAAATCAAAAGTTGCTGAGTCATGTTATGAATTGTTTTGAATTGCAGCTATACGCGATGTCGTGCACTGATCCGACGAACTATAGCAACTGCGCGCGCCTGTGCGTCGTGCCAATGCTTGCGCAGGCTGAGCCGAATAACAAAACGAACTATTAATTTAAATTTTCCTACGGTGCGTCTTGAGACGCACCGTTGGAAAGGCCTTCTTTCGTTGATTACTTCAAAATGATAGCTTGCCAGGAAGATTAATTTCACAGGGAGTTTAGTCCACTTACTATCTTTCAACCAAGTACGTTTTTCAACAATAATACGCCAGTTACTTTTTCGGATGGCTGCAAATGATGGACTACATGTATAGCTTTAAGTGACCAGTTTAACGAACTTTGTAAAAATTTAGCTGGTTTTGGAGAAAAATCATGTGTGTAATTTTTATTTTTGACAAACTAATTCAATTTGTATAAACAGAATTGTTCTATAGAGTCCGACCTACCGGGTATATGCATTTATTTGCCAACAGATTTGTACATTGGAACATGTGCAAATTTCTAATGACAGCTAATTACTGCTGATTATCGGCATTGTATAGCACTGATTTAATAACAATTTATTTTTCAATCATATTCGTACACGGAAGACAAATTATCTGTACATATTGAAGCTATCAGAATTATATGAAATGTGGGTTACTGATGAAACGCTAAATACCGGTATACTGTACACATGTACAGTAAGTATTTTTAAAATTAGTTGCATGCTGCTTGACCGTTTGCTCAGTGTGTGACATGATAGTGTAGCACCTGTTCTGTAGTCTATTTCTAGTCCAAGTTTAACAACTGTGGCTGATATGATTGGCAAATTCCATGATACAACGTGACGCACACATGGTCATGCATGTACATGTACCAGTACCTTCACTCTGTACATGTACATGTACATGTACATCCATCTACATGTACATGTACCATGTCAGTGTGCACGTAGTCTATATGTATTTTCAACTCATTGATTAAATTATCTCGGTGGTGCGATAGGTCAGAAACCTCTGTTGGCATTTTTTAAGTCGTTCATCTTGTGTTTCCTGTAAAGCAAGATATGTTCACCAGGTGTCGAACTTGTTTGCATTTTAATTGAAAAATAATTCACTGTTCATGTGCGATTACCATTGTGATATTTATCAGGCATGCAACTTTTCCTCGGATCAGCTGATTTCCTCTTTTTTTTGCTTCCCATGTGTGCCATTGAAAATGGAAAAACACTGTACAAAGTCTTGGAAAGATTTGAATTTCCTCTTTTTTTTGTGACTACATGTACTCAGTTGCATGCCTGATTTATTGGTTGTAGTCATCAAACCCTGAGGTCGATGAACAAGCATTTCAGTAAAGGTCGCCTTGATGTTTTCCTGAATGTCAGAGTTATCTTCTTTTTTTGGGTTACTTATTATTTTATTGACAAAACAAGATTGGTAACCCTCCAGTATTCACCTCCATGTGAATTCCGAGATTTGTTCAAATTGTTGTCTTCATAATTGTCTTCAAAAAGTCTTCAATGAACATGCAAATGCGCACAGGTCCATATGACTCAAATTTCCAATTGCTGTAATGATTGTACATGTATTGTGTGTAGTAGATCAGTTTTCAAAAAAAAAAAAATGTTTATGAAGATGCACATGTGTAGTGTACACCAACCATTAGGCCTATATTTTTTTTTAAATTCATGGAATCATGACATTTAACTGACGTATTCAGTAATTGTATGGCGTAAGTTGTAAGTTAAACCGTGCAGTCCTTGTGACTTTGAACATACCAGTACGTACAAATGTACTCTTCATGCAGGTTTGTACATGAACATGTGCACACATACCCTCTTGGAATGAAGTCAATATTTCAAGTAATATGAATTTACATACAATGTACATATGTACATTGTAGTTTGTACATGTGTACATGTACATTGTACATGTTGTACATGTGTATACGTGTACATGTACATTGTACTGTACCGTGTACATAGTATTAAAGACATCCAATGAAATCGTCTTCTATCACAATTCACAGTGCTCGATACAACTCTGTATGCACAATGTATACAATGTATACAATGGCCCAAATGTCTGAAAATAGAACCATTTATCTTGACAACTGTAAAAGCTACATCGTAACTTTTGCAAGCATGCAGTGTACTCGGTGCAACTCTTTCCTTTTATTTTTCTAGTAATACCGAAACTACGGTACATACATGAATGTAACGTATTGTACATATGTACAAGGGATAATCTACATTGTACACGTACCGTACTATAGCAACTCTTCTATTGTGTCTGTAAAGGGGATGGATCCTGAAAGTTCACTTTCACTATCTGTAAATACGTACATAAGTATATTAAGCAAATACAATGTTTGACAAAGCTAAAGTCCAGTTTTCATGAAAGAGAAAGTAAAATGAATGTTAACAATGTACATGTTTCCAAGAAAATTCACCCCCCCCCCAAAAAAAATGTACTGAATAGTTTACATTGAGGATACTCATTTAAGTTATAAAGAATTATAGCATGAAACCTTCAAGGGGAATACATGAATGTTCAACATCCATTTGGATTATTCAGTGAAATAGCCTACAGGATGGTCAAATATCAGTCAGTCAAATATCGATCAATTACCAGACAGATCACAGATCCTGATTGAAGAGTTGAACCTGTAGAATACCAGCATAATAGGTGCAGAAATTGTGCCTTTGATGTTTGGCTATACAGTCAAGTCTCGTTAATAATACAAACTCGTTCGGACCTAGCCAAATTGTTTGTTATATCAGAATTTTGTATTAAGAGGAACATCAGTCCCATTCATTGTGCACATACATGTACATGTACATTTAAGTGCACAATCGGGACTAATTAAGGCTTTATGTTTGTTATAACCAGAATTTTGTATTAACAGAGTTTGTACTAACGAGATTCAACTGTACATGATATAAGGGCCATCGCAGATTTGTCATGTGACCGAATGTTGGTAAAATAACAAGTGACAGCCATTTTCCAAAATGGCTGCCATACCTTGTTTATATTTTACCTATATGTTGTCACACAACAAATATGTGATGGCCCTATAGCCAAATATCTTTCATATAGGACATACTGTGATGACTGTGTGCTAAATGACATGCTTGTAATAAAGGCACCATATTCTCCCAAATATTTCACCTATCTGGCCCACTATTGGTGCCGTTCCAACTGTGCTACACGTACAGTGTATTCTTCATATGGATATGTTCAGTCTTATATTTTTTTTGGTCTCCAATTTGCCTGTCTGTTCGCAACTTAGGGTGCTGTTTAAAATGCAGTAATATGGGCAAGGATGATGTCTAAATTCATGATGCTGCAAAAGATGGACGTGGAAAGTTACATGTGGTAACTTCAAGTCTGAACATTTGAAATGTTTGTGCAATATGCATGGTAAATGTCAATTGAAATTATAGATTCAGAAAAATAATATAGCAGCTTTCATTTTACTAGTGATAATGATATCTTGTTATAAAAATATACTTGTAGGTCATTTTCTTGGTGAATGTGTCCTTTCATACA